GGGGATCCTACAACTTTTCAGGAGGCAGTACAAAGCCAAGAGAAAAGTAGATGGATGGGTGCTATGGTGGAGGAGATGGAGTCTCTGCATAAGAACCAGACGTGGGAGTTGGTGGAACTTCCCGAGGGGAAGAGAGCAATAGGGTGCAAATGGGTGTATAAGAAGAAAGAAGCAGTATCAGAAAATGAGGGAGAAAAATTCAAGGCTCGTCTAGTAGCAAAGGGTTACTCACAGAGAAAAGGGGTTGACTATGATGAGATCTTCTCCCCCGTGGTCAGACACACTTCCATCAGGACAGTGTTGGCACTAGTAGCACATTCAGATATGCAGTTGGAGCAGATGGATGTAAAGACAACTTTTCTTCATGGCGACTTGGAGGAACGGATTTACATGGTACAGCCAGAAGGGTTCAGTCTCCCTGGAGAGGAACATTTGGTCTGTAATTTGAAGAAATCACTTTATGGGCTGAAGCAGTCTCCGAGGCAGTGGTACAAACGATTTGACTCTTACATGATCCGAATTGGCTACAAAAGGTGTGAGTATGATTGTTGTGTCTATGTAAAAAGGCTTGATGATGATTCATTTATTTTTCTGTTACTTTATGTGGATGATATGTTGATTGCTGCCAAGAGTATGAGTGAGGTCAACAAGTTGAAGACTTTGTTGAGTAGAGAATTTGACATGAAGGATTTGGGTGCGGCCAAGAAGATTCTTGGGATGGAGATTCGCAGGGACAGAGCTTCCAGGAGATTATGGCTATCTCAGCATAGCTATGTTGAGAAGGTGTTGGACAGGTTCAGCATGAGTTATGCAAAATCAGTAAGTACACCTTTGGCGAATCATTTCAGATTGTCTACCGCTCAGTGCCCGAAGACAGATGATGAAGTTCATGACATGTCAAAGGTCCCATATGCTAGTGCAGTGGGGTGTTTGATGTATGCTATGGTTTGTACAAGACCAGATTTGGCACAAGCTGTCAGCGTGGTTAGCAAGTTTCTTTCAAATCCTGGTCGACAGCATTGGGATGCAGTCAAGTGGATTTTCAGATACTTGAGGGGCACTACAGACTATGGCATCAGGTTTAGTAGACAACAGAGTGACCCTTCAGTTATGGGATATGTGGATGCAGACTATGCAGGAGACTTGGATGACAGGAGGTCTACCACAGGTTATGTGTTTACTCTTGTGGGAGGACCTATTTGTTGGAAGTCCATGGTACAGCCTATAATTGCACTATCTACTACTGAGTCAGAGTATATGGCAGTAGCTGAGGCTGCCAAAGAGGCTTTGTGGCTTACAGGTTTAGTCAAGGAGCTGGGTGCCCAGCAAGGTGGAGTTCAATTGCATTGTGACAGTCAGAGTGCCATTTATTTGGCAAAGAACCAGGTGTATCATGCGAGGACCAAACATATAGATGTGAGGTTTCATAAGATCAGGGAATTGGTTTCTTCTGTTGAACTATTACTTGAGAAAGTTCACACTTCTGAGAATGCTGCAGACATGTTGACAAAGCCTGTTACTACAGACAAGTTCAAGCACTGCTTGGACTTGATTAATGTCTCTAGTTGCTAGATGGGAGATGCCTCAACTCAGCGTCCCCGGTGGAGTTCCCGAATACATGTCCTTTTTTTTCTTCTAAGGGGTGAATATTTGCCAAGGTGGAGATTGTTAGAGTATGTGTGGCTCATATTTTGCTATGTGCATAATGGCAAGGAGGCAGATGTCGGAGCGGAGCCCGCGACGGCATCAGCCTCCTTGCGGGATTTATATATAGGGGACGCTGATAAGTTGGGGGTGCGGGGGCAACGCCCCTGCGGTACGGTACAGGGGTATTTTTGTAAATACGTCCATATTAGGGTTATATAAATACTTAAGATGTAACCCTACTTCAATAAGGAAAAGAACAGCCGCTCGCTCTCGTGGATGTAGGCACATTGCCGAACCACGTAAATCTCTGTGTGTTATTTTCTCCTGCTTTCTTAATTGTTTGATTCCTTACTATTCACCATAATTGCTGCACGATCACAACAGTAGTGATTAAACAAAAGAGTATCCTCCTGTTCTACCAATGTGAATGGTTCAATCAGAATTTGCTGTGAACTTGTTCACATGCAAATTCACACGGATCAATATTTCTTCACACAATAAAGGACAAGCTCATATCCATATCTCCTCATTGTTACTTTATAGATAAGTTAATTGTTAGCCTTTGTCATATAAACAGAAGTTATCACCATTGCATTACACTTTTGGTGATTGTCAAACTTATTTGATTGAAAAAGAAATATTTTTTTTCTTTTTTAAATTAGGAATTCGACAGCTTATGGAAATAAAAGCAACAAATCCTGAAAGTGGACTTCTCTCAGAAAACCCGATTTTCTGTCCTGTCTTAAGCACCAGACTCAAAAGAGAAAAGAAGACCGTAGCTCCCCTAACGAACAACTAAGTGAAGACTGGTGCGCCTCCGTCCTACGGTCCCCTTGTCCTTTTGTTTTGTAGCTCTGTTTGGGTTTGAAAGGAGACGGTACGCTTTCACCGGTTATTATACGATAATACCTTTTGAAATGACCACTTTAGTTATTGTTAGGTTGGATCATAATGGGCTTTCCTTTCCTACAAGGGTAACATAGAAGTTTCCTCGTAGTACGGTTTTGTGAAAATGACCAAAATTGCAAAGAAAACTAGAAAAAGAGCAGAAGAAAGGAAAAACCATGTGATTTTGTGTCGTAAGCAGAGTAATAAAGCCGCAAGCTGGTCATTGGCCAACTAAGAATAATATATATGAATTTGCTAAAACAATCATAGGCTTCAAACAAAGATGAAAAATGAGGGTGAAGTATTAATTAAATAAAATGGCATGCTTGTCTACTAAGGTGAATGTTCCCATTCTCAGAATACAAATCATTATTTCCACTCGAAAATTGTATGCCCCTATAGTTTCTCCTCACAGTTAGTTTACAGAGAAGTTAGTTTTTCAGTCTATGTAAAGTAAAAAGAATGTACCACTATTGCATTAGAGTTTTGGTAACAGTCAAACCTCAAACTTAATTGATGGAAGAAAAAGAAATTGACAAATTGTAGTTCGGTTTAAATAACTAGAAATTTGACAACTTATTGGAGAAAAAGAGAAAATTCCCAAGAAAGTGGACAGCACTCCGATTTTCTAAGTATTGTCTTGCAAATATGATAGGAAAAACCATGTGATGTTAGTGTCACAATCAGAGTATGGATCTAATTGTATCTTAGCAGGGGCCAACAATTTAGAGAAACAAAAAAAGACAAAAGAAACCAATACATGAGCAAGAACTAGAGCTTATAAGAAGAAATCTACTAAAACAATTAGTTAACATCGTTTCCCATGATAACTTATCAAACCACAACTGCACAATAAACCAAGGAAACAGACTACGAATACTAAATGGTACCTATATCCAACCCCCATATTATTCACAACAATAATAGCTTCATGAAGAGACATGGGAAAGCAATTTGAATAAAAAACAATGAACAAAAGAAAAAACATTCGTTTAGATTTTATGTAGAGCAAAAGAAAAAACATTCCTTCCTGAACCAAGTCAGAAGGTTATTTTTTTCCCGCTAGAGGTTGTTCAAGTAAACTGCACATGGGTAGTTTGAGATTTTATATTTTTACTAAGTAAAAATTTCAAATTCTATTATTTTAGATTATTTGACATTATGACTATTTCGTTTTCATTTTGTTCACAGAAATGTACCAAACAAGATTGTTATGGGTAAATATAAGTTTTGTAGGTTACATATGCAAACTTTGTGAAACAGAAATAAACACACCTACGAAAGTTGAACCTTCTAAAGTCAAGGCACACAAAACAAACAAGCAGGCACATATACGTATCAGATTGGAAGTTTAATTTTTATCACCTTAAAATACCATGTCGAATTTTAAAATTGGTTTCGCTCAAAAAAATTGGGGTAAAAAAGAATGCTACACAAATTGGGAGAAGTTACACTAAGTTTGAATCCTAGACCTAGAGTACAAATTGTTTTGAATCCATGAATAATTGTGTATTTGTATATAGATGTGAGAGACAAAGAGAGACTTGCTTGTCTCAGAGGAAGAACAGTTCGACGAGGCCAAAAAACTTGGAATATAGAATGATGACGTCTAAATAGAGAAATTCAGTCAGTTTCTTACCTGCTTTTGAAATACAGCAGAAGGTTTACTAGAAGTTCGCTACAAATGCAACTGCCTCATTTCTTTTCTTTATGGGGCGTGGTCAGTCCTCCTATAGCATTTTCTTCTACGCTATCAAGGTCAGCCATAATGCAGGAAATTATAAGGCTCAGGAAAACTAATCATTGAATTTTCTACTAGCAAATAATCTATGGGAATATACAAATTAAGATGAGCATGGTGAGATGCTCACTCAGATCCAAATTTATTTATGTAAGGGTATTTTTACCCTAAGCTCGACCTTCCTGCTTGCTTCTCCATATCTGATGTGAAACATCCTCCTCTTGGTCAGCAAAATTGATTTCTCCTCCCACCATCTCCAGGGATACCACCACCATACCATTGTTCAACTTGAGGCTGCAATTCTAACAATAATCTTCAATCCACTTCCAAACAATGGAAAATAATTTATGACATTCCACAGTTAAAAAACCACCAGGAAAATGGGGTGGAAATTTATTTTCACCACATAATAACCATGGAGAAATAGAATAACATTAGAAAACCCACTCAAAATCTGTTAAGCAGAGATTAAATAAAAACATGAAAAATTTCAAGTAAGAAACAACCTTATTGAGCATACGAAGTAACAAGAGATTCTGTTTGTGCTTATTGTAAGTATGCATATCTCTGATCATGAAGTTGAAAAAAATAAGAGTCTATCCAAGTGTTACTAGACACACCAACTAATAAGATCCAACATATTGTAGACAAAAACTCAAATCTTCAAGAAATCCACACATTGCCATAACAAAAGCTGTAAAATTCAAATAACTCAACTACGAACTCAGAATATTGCAGTATCAACAGAAACTTTTGGGCTCTTAAAGAATCCTAGAAATCCATTAATTAGTCTCCTGTATCCTGGTTCCGGATCAATCAAACGGGGATGATAACCATCTGCGTCTGCAACATCTTTTCTGACATTATTTGAAGAAAGATGATGATCTAATGGGAGATCTTTCAAGGCAGCTGGTAGTTCATTGCCAAAGACACCATATATCCAATTCCACCAGGTTGCCAAAGAAGAAATCTATGACCTTTCAACATTTTCTAGAAAAATAAAAGTACATAATGCAAAATCCAATCCAAATCATGAGACATCTTTTTCACAGGCATCTGGATCATATGTTGTCATGAACGAGGTATACATTTCTCCAGCAAATTCACAGAGTACCAATAACCGAAGTGGATAAAACTTTATAAATTAGTCAATTTAGCAATTGAACCACCATCATCAAGAAATTATTGGGCTAAGATAATGAACTTAAATATTTGGCAACCAAGATTCTTATCAACTAGTATGCATTGCATCAACACATGCTCATCATGTATTACCAAACTTATTCCAGTTATTGTCATAGGCATTAAAGAAAACAAGACACACCCAAAGCCAAAACTAGGTTGAGCATTTAAGCTCCCAGTTTTTAAAGTACTTCCAAATTCAAATACAAGGAAGGTAGGAGGGATGCAAAAGGGTATTCAGAGAAATGGAAGTTGCATTGTGGTCATGTTTTACTGAACACGAAGGAAAATGAGGAAGAAAAAGTTTTGTTTGAACTTACCATTACAAACTTTAAGAAGGGAAATCTAAAACACAATGATTTCCCTCTCTCTCTCCCTCTCTCTCTCTGTTCAAACATGTACATCAACAACCCATCCTACCTACTAACGCTAGTAAGGTTGAAGAAAGGATGCATCGAGCAAGCAACACAACCCCCGGTTCTACTTCACTAAGCCCCGTCCGTTGTAAGTTTGCCTGGAAAAATCATACCCCTTGTGTATCACAAAAATCCTTAAATCTTAATAAGAAAGAAAGCATGGGCTGGGTTCTAAAATGAACTGTTACTCTTTGATAGCCTCTTGAGGTTCACCTATTGGTTCTGCCCCTCGTATTCATTTTTTGGCTTGGTAAAATTATAAAATGCTTAAATTTCAAGGCATGAGAACGAGGATTTCAAGTCTAAGAACAACCACTGTGATCCTGGAGTTTGTGGGTTCTTCCTCAAGTACCTTAACCAAGATAAAGTTGAGGTTAATAAAGAAGACAATAGAGAATTAAGTGTTAAAGGTATAAACCAAAAGACAAGAAGCTTATTGAAATAAAGAAAAAGCATAAGACAAGAACAACTTTGGTGTGATCGAGATTTTGGTATTCCATTACTATTATAACTGCCATGGTGCATTGTTTAGCGATTGTAAACATATCTAATAAGTTGGTCCCCTTGTCCATAATATCCAATTTGGTCAGCACTTCGAATAGGAAACAAGTAGAAAACAACTACTGTCTAGTAGACTGGAAATCAATCTGACAGCAAACACCTTGGAAAAACAAAGAAAATGAGGCCTATGCAATGGTAAAGGTACTGCATGAACTTGAGAATACCTGTACGACCAACTTAGATGACCTCAGCAAGAGTGGGGCATAAACACTCAACATGGTGTCAAGAATGTGTGGTGAGCTCCCAATGTGGAGGGCTGGTGAGGATCCGCAACCAATCGTTTCCGTTGTTCTGTTGCTCTTCCTCAAGTTGCCTTGCAGATTTTGTAGCAGAGGGGCTACAATCAATCGCCTCAATAATCTCTAGTGTGAGTATATCTCCTAGTTCTGAAGGGATTTCCTCGAGTTGGAAACATCCTTGCAGCATCAATTTCTGAAGGCTTGGAAAGTGAGTACTAGAGGTTTCCCATCTCACAATATTTGAGTAGAAAATTTTCAACAATCTGAGTCGAGGAAACCCCCCCATAATTTGTCTTCCAAAGCTCTCCCAAGCAGGCATGAAATTTTAATTTGAGAACCTCCAGGTTGGGCAACACCCCAATGGTTTCCATCTCATCCCACTTTAGATCAGTGTTTGATAATGTAAGCCGTTTGACATTTGAAGGAAACCTGTCCCATTGCAGATTCCACGATCTGCGAACATGGGTGTTTGTGTCCAGAAACTTCAATGTCTCAAGATGGTTTAAGAAGTCTAGATTAGGAAATGTCACACAACCTACCTCTGACATCATAGGTCCACAAAATCCCAGCTTCTTGAGATTGGTAGTCCTTTCCAATACATCTTGACAAGAACTAGAGAGACATACTTGAGAGATGGTTTGGAGGTTATCCAATGAGACGACATAATCATTAAAACAAGGTTTTTCGATAACATTTTCTCCTGATGTAATAAGCAGGTGCCTCAACTTTACCATGCTCCAAGTACTTTGCGGTATAGTGATATTGATCCTCGATGATATAATAAGTGTTTGCAGGTTCCTGAGGTTGGATATTGATGCCGGAAGATTCCCGTCTCTAATCTGAATCGATAAATACTTCAAACGACCAAGTTGTAACATTTCCTCGATAAAACAGATGATAGGGATGGATGAAAAATGCAAAACCCTCAGATGACTTAAGGTCTGACAAATGTGTGATACATGCCTCCCAGATAATGTGTCAGATTCAGGACCAAAGCATAAAATAGAACAAATGTAGGCGGTAGGAAGCTCTAAAGGAACTCTTTGCCAGACCTGAAAAAGTAAGAACTTGTTCGCGCTTATTAATCTGCAGCAGAAAATTTTCTTCATCAGCTTTTATCAAGCATAAAGCGTGCAGCAGATCATGGAGACGACATGCTCTGACTTCACCATCAGACCTCTTTTTGGCAACTAATACTAGACTTCTATCAATTAGATCCATCAAGTAATCGTGCGCTACATCTTCCAAGCACTTTTGCCCAACTTGCGGAATAAAGCTATCCACAACGATGCCAACTTCCACACTGGGATATCATAGTTGACTGGGAATGCCCACAATAGAGAAAGCATGCTTTCAAGTGATGAGGCAAGTGGTTGTAACTTAGTGCTAGTGCGTCCATGCACATATTTGGGCCTCTAATTACATACAAACTTACACAGTCAGCAACTCGGTTCCACCAGTCAGGCGTTTTCTCTTCCTTTGCAAGAAGTCCCGCAATTACAACTATTGTAAGCGGTAGTCCCTTACAATTGGCTGCAATTCGCTTTCCAATTTCCACCAGCTCTGGAGGGCAATACACTCTCTGATATATCTTTTGTTGCAAGAGTTCCCAACTTTTGTCTTGAGTTAACAAACACAAATGATGAGAGCTATAAGATTTAGCATGAAAAATACTATTTGTGATCCGACTAGTGCACATAATTCTACTTCCATTATTGTCCTCTGGAAAAAAAATTTCTAAATCACACTAGACCCCAATATTCCATATGTCGTCCAACACGATCAGGTACCTCTTATCTTTTAGGCGTTTGTATAGCTCTTCACCTAATTTTTCATCACTCATTTCACAAATTTCATCTCTAAGCTGAAAAGCAGAATGTAAAATGTCAAGCAAAGAGTCCCTCATCGAATATACTTGGGACACATAGGCCCAAACTCGAATATAGAAGTGATATACAACGAAAGGATCATTGTACACTTTTCTAGCTAGTGTTGTCTTTCCCAGTCCAGGCATTCCCACATTCGAGACAACGTGTAGCTTATTCCGTCCTACAAGTTGCTCTTTAATGGTCTCTGTTTCATCCTCAAAGCCAACCACAATTTCGTTATCTACTTTTGGAATACAAGCTGCTGATGGACTCCGCTTGATCGTTTGCTCTGCATACAGAATTTTGTGTGTTGATGAACTTCTGCTTGCAACAATTTTTGCCACATTGGCAATACTTTCTGTTAACGAACTTCCATAGGGAATCATGCCAACTTGTGGTACTCTGATGTACATTTTCTTGTCTTTATGCTTACTGATCTCTTTCTTTATAGTCGCTTCAATATCTTCACTGATGTAACGAAGGTCTAGAGACTTCTCAATATCTTCGGAGTAAGCACCTACCAGATAATCATCAAACTTGAAGGAAAAAACAAGTATCACAGCCACATATGAACTTATACTTAGGGCAACTTGCTCCCAAAAATGTTGGGTCTTCTCTTCCTTGGCAAGAAGTCCTGCTATGACTGCTATTGTGAGTGGCAGTCCATGACATTTTGCTGCTATTTGCTTTCCGATTTCCCATAACTCTTGAGGGCAGCTTTCTTTCCCAAACACCTTCTTTTGCAACAAAACCCAACTTTCATCTACCCCTAAAAGAGGCAGACAATGAACGGTCGTCTTACAAACAACGCTGGAAACCAAACCATCGTACCGTGTAGCGAGCATAATCTTACTTCCATTTTCGTCATCTGGAAAAGATCTTTTCAAATAGTCCCAGAAACCCACATCCGATATACGGTCGAAATCGATGACAACAAGATATCTCTGGCCCTTTAAGAAATTGTAAAGCACTTCAGGCAGTTCTTCATGACTTATTCTACTAATTTGGTCAGTAATCAGGAGAGCAGGACTTGAAATGCTAAAATCCCTTTGTCGATCCACTTTAGGAACACCGATCCGCGCTCGAACATTGAAGTGAGATGCAATGGAACGATCATTGTACACTTTTCTGGCTAGAGTTGTCTTACCCCTTCCTAGCATACCGACAATTCCACAAACTGGGACGTGCCTTAGTTGCAAGTCGTGCAACTTCGTCATCCACTCCTTCCATTGTAGTTGCAAGTGGTCCGACTTCCATCGTTCTCCTTCTCGAATAAGACGATCCACAATCTCCCCCGGCATTTCATCAGATCCCGATCCTGCTCCTCTTAGAATAAGCTGACCCACAATCCTCATCGTCATTTCATCAAATCCCACCACCGTTTCTTCCTCGGGATCTGATATCGATGAACTTCCAAATTGCAACGTTACCACAGTATCATCCTCAACTACTATCGTATCAGCTCTTGGAGGACATCTGATATCAGGCAATTTGAAACAAATTTCCTGCACCCCTGTTGAGATAGCCGTAATGAATTAATTATATTATCTATTAACAAATATTTGTTGTCAAAACTTAAATATAAGAAATTGATTAAACCCAACTTTCAAGTAGACGTACAATGAACGGTGATCTTATCAGTAATACTGGAAACCAAACCCTCGTACCGTGTAGCGAGCATATTCTTCCTTCCATTTCCGTCATCTCGAAAAGATCTTATCAAATAGTTCCAGAAACCCAGATCCCATATATGGTCACAACCGATGGCAACAAGATACCTCTGGCCCTTTAAGAATTTGTAAAGAACTCCTCGTGACTCATTTTACAACTTTGGTTAGTAATCAGGAGAGCAATATCTTCGAAAATAAACAACTCATCTACCCTGCAACGAATACAATATTTTTTTTATTTTTAATTAGAATAATTTTTCGTTTAATAACCCATATCTTTTGGTGCAAGGATTTGAATTGAATTTATATTGAACTTTTAAATCAATCAAAATCCAATCGAGAAACCTATAACCAGCCAAAACACGTAACAAACGCACACGTATGTCATAGACATAGAACATACATACACACATAAGACGTGCGCATACAAAGAGAGAAAAAAAATTTCCGTCAATATTTCCTCCCTCGAAAATGGTATGCAATCTCGTTGAGTCTTTCGTCCTCTTGACTCGGTCACTCCAATTCAAGTCCAGTATCCATCAATTTAAGTCCAAGCCCAAGATCCTCCTTCGACTGAATAGGAGCACGAGAGAGAGAATATTGAGATACGCACGAGAGATCTAATCTTGCTTTGATTGTACTTACCAAAATGATAGAAGCCCTCTTTCTCACGTTACCGTCTTATGTCTTACTAAACCTATATAATGTAAGCTCTCTCCACAAGGAGAGACATCTAGGCATGACCTTGAAACCTCTACATACCTCTCTACATCTCCTTAGTCTCTCTCACCTAAGGCATTGTAATTATCCCGGAGTACATTCTTCCGGTGACTTTTATTTATCAATAAAGATCTCAGGTCACCGCTGCCGTTCTCGAGAGTGAAGTAGGTCACCCGAACCGAACCACTATAAATCTTTGTGTGGACTCAATATTTACCGTTTTGACATTGATTATCTTAATTATTGCTCATTAATTGCACCCGTTCATATACTCGGCTGTTGATCTTGCGCAATATCGATTTGTGCATCATCAGTTTGGCGCCGTCTGTGAGAAATGACTAATTTTTCTACTCTCTTTCAAACCCATGACAATCACTACCCGATTAATGAGTCAACAATTGGGAGACAAAAACCCAGTCCACTGGGAAGAGGCTCCGCCTCCCCTCGTGCCCTCGGAACCATCTGCTACTACGACTGGACAGCAACAATAACTTTTATAAACTATGCAGTTGCTAGTGAAACAGAACCAGCAGATTATTCAATTAATGCTCACTCAGGGAGCGTCGCCTCTCAGCCTGTGGGAGGAGCCCCACTCCCTCCAACAAGAGAGGAGCAGCAGTCCATCCCTTCGGGGCGTCAGGTAGCCCCTCACCATGGGGGCCCTCGCCAAAATGCCCCAAGACCACAACAGGGCGCCCCTCGCTCAACAGTCTATTCTCAGCGCGCAGGGAGCTCTCGTGTACCCCCTTCGCATGTACCTGCGCAGGAGAACGAAGACGGAGAAAGCCAATATAGAGACCATGAAAACCAGTACCGCCACCCGACTATGGATGTCCCTAATTAGTGGATGAGAATATTAGAGAGGTGCAGAACCAACTCGGTGATGCCCTCAACGCCATCAAGCACAGGCACCTGAAACCGTGGACTGCCTGGTAAGACGTAACGATATACCTTTGTTATTGATATAGTTAACTATCCCCTACCCTCAAAGTTCAAGATGCCAACCATCGAGATCTTCGACGGTACCAAAGACCCCCTCAACGATCTCGACACATACAAATCCCTCATGCAACTCCACAACGTATCTAAGGAGATTATGTGTAGAGTATTTCCTACCACCTTGAAGGGGTCTGCTTGTCAATGGTCCACGAAGATCAAGCCCTTCTCCGTTCACTCCTTCGTAGAACTAAGCAGATCCTTCATCTCCCACTTCATGGGGGGACATCTACATCAGAAACCTGTGACCACTTGTTCACCATTAAACAGGACAGAGAGGAATGCCTCAGAGACTACTTCGCCCATTTCAATGAGGAGGCTCTCTAGATTAAAGTGTCGGATGACAAGCTAGCCTTGGCCGCCTTTATTGTCGGCCTTCGCACGTCTAGTTTCATGTTCTCAGTTTTCAAGAAGTCGCACTCTAGCATGCCCGAGCTACTGTCGATGGCACAAAAGTACATGATTGTTAAGGACGTCACCAAGGCCCGTCGAGGTGAGTCCTCCGGAGAAGGGGAGAAGAGGAAGTACACTTGTGAGGACAAGTAACAAGTAGGGAACAAAAGGAATAAGACAGAGAGAATCTCTATCAAGGACCACCTTGGTCCCCTACCTCTGAGAGAGCGGCAAGCCTTCATGCCACTCAATGCTTCCGTGGAGCATCTCCTGTTCCAAATACAGGATGACCTTACAGTACGCGGGCCAAAGAAGATGAAGACCACCCCAAATTGGAGAAGTCTGAACAAGTACTGTCATTTCCATCGTGACTACGACCATGACACTGATGACTACTTTGATCTCAAAAGGCAGATCAAGGAGCTCATACAACCTGACCAGTTGAGGTAGTACGTTGTTGGCAGAGGACAAGCCCCACCACCTAGTCGGAACCAGGATGACAGAAAACGCCAATAACCCCTCGAATAAATCTAGATGATCTCTTGAGGGCCAGAAGAAGGAGTTGATTCGAACTCTACCAAGAGAGCCTCGGCCCACCTATGGGACACTGAACACTTGGAGATTTTATCTATCCTTTATTGTTTTAGTTGATTTAGTTATTTATTATTTTATGAAATAAAATTCTGCGAAGATTATAGTGTCCAAAATTGTTTTGCTTTCCTAAAATTTACAAATCGCTCACCAAAGTCAGAACATGACCTTACAGCAAAGTAGACAAAAAGGTAAAAGTCGTCACCAAGGCCCTCTCCGTCATCATCTACCTTTGGTGCCTCATATGGGACAAAGTCAAAATCAAGCGACTGCCTAACCACTTTCCTGTGTTACCCGAGGCATCACCCGAGTGTCTCAAGACCTCGCCCAGGCCAGCGCCCAGGCACCTCAGGCACCCAACATCAGGCGTCCCACCTCAGATGCCCAGTACTAGGCACCCAGCAATAGGGGCCCACCAAGCGCCCAGCTCCTCAACGCCTTCCTCATCTCTATCTCAATGAAATGAGCCTTTGCCAAGTTAGTCATCTCCCGAGTTATATGTAGCTCGACCTATGACTCTACTCTCGCGCAAGTAGTCACCTTATAAGCTTTTGCCACGATAACCATCTCTTGAGTTATACATAACTCGGCCTATAACTCTGTTCTTGCTCAAGCAGTCACCTTGTAAGCCTCTACCACTGCAGCCGTCTCTCGAGTTATACGTAGCTTGGCCTATAACTCTACTCTCGTGTAAGTAATCACCTTGTAAGTCTCTGAGGACTGCTTTGATCTCAAAAGGTAGATCGAGGAGCTCATATAGTGTGGCTAGTTGAGGTAGTACGTTGTTGGCAGAGAACAAGCCCCACCACCTGGTCGGTACCAAGATAACTGAGAACGCCAACAATCCCTCAAAGAAATTCAGACGATCTCCTAAGAGCCAGAAGGAGGAGTTGATTCGAACTCTGTCAAGAAAGCCTCGGCCCACCTATGGGTCACTGAACACCTAAAGATTTTATTTATCCTTTATTGTTTCAGTTGATTTAGTTATTTATTATTTTACAAAATAAAATTCTGTGCAAATTATAGTGTCCAAAATTGTTTGCTTTCCTAAAATTTACAAATCGCTCACAAAATTCAGAACATGACCTTACAACAAAGTAGACAAAAAGGCAAAAGTCTTCACCAAGGCCCTCTCCGTCATCGTCTACCTCTGGTGCCTCATATGGGACAAAGCCAAAATCAAACGATTGCCTAACCGCTTCCTTGTGTTACCTGAGGCACCACCAAAGCATCTCAAGACCTCGCCTAGGCTAGCGCCTAGGTAGGCATACTCCAGGCCAGTGCCCAGGCACCCAGCACCAGGCGCCTAATAGTAGGGGCCCACTAGGCATCCAACTCCTTAACGCCCTCCTCATCTCCATCTGAATGAAATGAGCCTCTGCCACGGTAGCCATATCCCGAGTTATACGTAGCTCAACCTATGACTCTACTCTCGTACAAGCAGTCACCTTATAAGCTTCTGCCACGATAACCATCTCCCGAGTTATACGTAGCTCAGCCTATGACTCTGTTCTCGCTCAAGCAGTCACTTTGTAAGCTTCTACCACTGTAGCCATCTCCCGAGTTATAGTAGCTCGGCCTATGACTCTGCTTTCGCACTAGCAGTCACCTTGTAAGCTTTTACTATAACAGTAATCTCCTGAGTTATACGTAGCTCGGCCTATAATTGTGCTCTTGCGCAAGTAGTCACCTTGTAAGCCTTTGCTACGACAACCATCTCTCAAGTTATGTGTAGCTCAGCCTCAGACTCTACTCTCGCACAAGTAGTCACCTTGTAAGCCTCTACCACGGTAGCCATTCCCCGAGACTATATGTAACTCAGCCTCAGCTCATGCGGCCCTCTCACGGGACGTCCATAACTCTAACTTTGCTCTCAGGCAAATAGTCTGCCTCTCTCTCTCTCTCTTCTTCAGGTAATCATGTTAGATATTTTAATGTTAGGATAATATTATTTTTGCTAGGCATATTTTTGAAGCTCAGGCCATCTGTAACCCGCGAGACTATATTAGATTGACATCGGGCCACTACTAGAAGCAAGACAGCTATGTGGAGCTACAGTCCCCGTAGCAAGACCGCACTGAAGTCTCAACTCTTACAACAGTATAAGAGCTAGTTCTGGTATACACATAAGTCCCAGTCTGAA